GGCTGTCGGAGACCAATGAAAGGGAGGAGGAAGAAGACGAAGAGGTGGGGAGTACAAACCGTCAGATCTGTAAGCATATGGACGGTAGAGATGGTGCTTCGAGAGAAGTCCAAACGAGGGGGTGATTCAATTTTTAAACTTTTCACATGAGAGGGGAGTATTGGCGGTAGACCAATTGAAAAATTTAATTAAGGAATGCATAGAGAAGATTCAAAGAGGGAAGGTAGTGGGGGACAGTCTGACAGCACCAGGAGAGAGGAGACAGGTGTCGGTAGAGAACCTCCGAGTTCACTCGGTTCCATTGGAGCAGTCCCAAACTTGAAACCCACATCAAAACGGTCCAAATGCTCAGCCAAAACGGGTTAACGAAGAAATTCAAGTTGGGAAGCTATAAGTGAGCCCAGACCACCTCGGCGGGAGCAAGTCAATAACGACCAGGTTCATCTCGGGCCCTAGTGGCTTAGCCAACCCCAGAGAAGGTCGGGCTTTCACTCTTCTCCAATTGAGCAAAGGTCCAGCCCTCTCTCCTTCACTTTGGAGAACACAGATGAAGACGTTGGTTTAGCCTATACTCCTAACCAACTGCTGTGAAAAGACTCAAAGGATTCAAGGTCAACCCCAAATCAACTCTTTGTTATTCATGTGGAAAAGGAACCAATGGAGGTGCAGCCAATAGCAGTGGTCGAATCATCAATCCAGAAGATGAACCAACCTGCTGCGCAAGAGAGGGAAAAGTTGACAGCTAATCTGGTATTTAACCATGAAAAAACTTTGCAAGTGAATGGAAATACCCCACCCATCGTCAACAAAAGAAAAGGTGCAGTTTTGGCGGCACAGGAAGATAAGTTCTCTAAAACTTCTTCTTCCTCTTGGGTTTCTTCAAAATCATTGGGGTTAGGGAAATTTCTAGGAGTTTCGTTAGAAGGGCTGGAGGAAGAAACAACTAAATTTTTGGAGGGAGTTAAGCATAGTACTTGTGGAAAGGGGAAAATTAGCAGCAAAAAGAGGGGGGCACTACTTCAAAAAAGAACAGGGAAATGATGAGATTAAACTGGGGTCTGAACGACAGGGCGGGGAGCTACAAAGGGGGGTGAGAGGAAGCAAGAAGTAGAAAGGGAGGTGGTTGGTTGGTTTTCCTCTCTCAAGTTGTTAATGGATTTGAAAATAATGTTGTTAAAAAAGCCAAAATTCAGATTCTTATCCTTTAGGAGACTAAGCTGGAATCTATGGATGCAGGAATTGTCCGGAGTATTTGGGGGGAGGGTCAAGTGAGATGRAGAGCTAGGTCGGCAAGGGGCAGTGCTGGGGGCTTGGCCATCCTTAGGGACCCAACTGTGTGTAGAATTCATGTAGGGTGGGTTCTTTTTCCATCTCTCTTATAATGAAACTTGCTAATGGAAGCCTTTGTCAAGTGATTAATGTGTATGGTCCTACTGAAGCAAATCTTAGGCACTCTTTTTTGGAAGAATTAGAAGTGATGAGAAGCTTTATTTCTCACCCGTGGGTAATTGGAGGGGATTCAATATCACTCTATCAGTTGAAGAAAAAAATGTTACAGGTAGGAGATCAAGGGGGATGAGTTTAGTTGCTGATTTTGTAAACTATTTGGAGCTCATTAACCTACCTCTAGTGGGATGAAGTTTTACTTGGACAAATAATCAGGATAATCCAATTCTTGTCAGACTAGATAGATTTTTGGTTTCTGAAAACTGGGATGAGCTCTTCCCTAATTTCAAGCAAGTGATACTTCCAAGACCTGTCTCAGACTACACTCCAATCCAGCTGATCTGTGGTAGTAGGAACACAATCAAAGCTCCTTTTAAGTTCGAGAATGCACGGTAGGCTTCCTGACGTTATTAAGATCATTTTGGTGTGAAGTGCAGGTGGAAGGGTCTAGTTCATTTGTTTTAGCAAAAATGTTGGGGGCAGTTAAGGAAAAATTGAAAATCTAGAAAATGGAAAATAATTTGAACTCAAAAACAGAAAAGAGAGATTCTCTTAGCCTAATTGATGAAATTGACAGAGTAGAGAAAACAGGCCCAGTTTCAGAAGAGAGGTAAAATTGAAAAGAATTCAAGCAAAGGCAGTTTTTGACAAATTGGCAGTCAAGGAGGAATTAAAGTGGATACAGGGGGCCAAATTAGAATGGTTGAAAGCAAGGGATAGGAACACTCACTATTTCCATAAGTTGGCAAATGCAAAAAACAGAATTTTTACAATTAGCAAGCATATTTGGGATGATAAGGTGCATGAATCGGTTGCAGAAATCAAAGCAATTGCAACTTCTTTCTATAAAAACCTTTATAAGGAAAATTGGAAATGCAGACCTCTCCCCATAAACCTTCCTTTTAAAAGATTGAGTGAAGATCAAAGATGTTTCCTTGAAAAACCTTTTTCTAAGGAAGAGATTAAGATGAACTTTGACAATGAGAAATCCCCTCGGCCTGATGGATTCTCCAACATGTTCTATGTTAAGTGCTGGGATTTCGTGAAGCAAGATATTCTAGATGCTTTTTAGACCTTCCATTTAAGTGCTTCTCTACAAAGGAGCTTGAACAATTTATCACTCTCATTCCCAAGATTGAAGGAGCAGTACATTTAAAAGATTTTAGGCCAATAAGCCTTCTAAACAGCTTCTACAAGATTTTGGCCAAGGTCTTAGCTGAGAGGATGAAGGGGGTGTTAGATTGTGTGATCTCAAACAATCGAAGTGCCTTTGTACCGGGTAGGAAAACGATTGACTCGGTTCTAATTGTAAATGAGTTGATAGACTCTAGGAAGAGAGAGGGGATTCCCGGTCTGGTGTATAAGCTAGATATAGAAAAAGCTTATGATCATGTCAATTGGAGATGCTTAGATAGAGTTTTGGAAAAAAAATGAATTTTGGGCAAAAGTGGAGAAACTGGACGAAAGTTTGTGTGTCCTCTCCCAAATTTTCCATTCTGATAAATGGCCAATCAACAGGTTTCTTTGAGACTTCTAGAGGGCTCAGATAGGGAGACGCCCTCTCTCCCCTTCTCTTTATCTGTATTCTTGAAATTCTAACTCTCCTTAGTCAGAAGGCAGCTGACTCGGGCTTGTGGAAAAGGTTTGCAATCTCCCCAGGGAGGAAAAGTTAATATCCTTCAGTTTGCAAATGATACCTTATGCTTCATTGATGCTTCTCAGGAACAACTGGAAAATCTTCTTGGGATTCTTAGCTGGTTTGAAGTAGTGACAGGATTGAAAGTTAACCTCAATAAAATCCAAATCATCCCAGTGGGTCAAGTTCCTAACCTGGGAGAGTGTGCCAATATTATGGCTTGTCAAGTGGAATAGCTTCCTGTGAAATATCTAGGCCTTCCATTGGGGGCGAAATGCTCTTCTTCAGCCATTTGGGATCCAATAATTGAAAGATTGGAAAAGAAACTGTCTTCATGGAAGGCAAAATACCTTTCCTTTGGAGGTAGAATGACCATTCTAAAAAGTACTCTCTCCAACCTTCCTACTTATTTTCTCTCCCTTTTCCCTATCCCATCAAAAGTGGCAAAAAGAATAGAGACTCTCCAAAAGAATTTCTTGTGGAGGGGTTGGGAGGAAGAAAAGAAGATCCACCTTGTGAATTGGAATCAAATTTGTCTCCCTAGGGAGGAAGGGGGGCTAGGCTTAAGAAGGCTTAAGGTGACTAATTTGGCTCTGCTTTATAAATGGATCTGGAGATTTTCCACTGAAAGGGAAGCCTGGTGGAGAAGCCTGATAGCTTCTGAATTTGGGGTTAAGTGGGGAAACTGGAGAACAAGAGATCCTCCTCCTAACTGGGGCTACTCTTTATGAAAAAGCATCATAAAGCTCTTCCCCTTGTTTGATGGGGGAATCAGTCTCAAAGTTGGTAAAGGGGACAGGGTTAGATTCTGGAAAGATCATTGGTGCTTGGATCATCCCTTGGCTGAAGAGTTTCCTCTTATCTATCAGAATGCCTCGATGGCTGATTTATACATATTCTCTGGCAATGAGGTGACATGGGTTCCCCAGTTCAGAAGAGGTCTTTTCGATTGGGAAGTTCAAGAAGCTGAGTTTGCTAGAAACTTTACAGGTTCAGAACATTGACTTTAATTAGGATGATCAGTGGACTTTGACCTGGTCCAAAGAGGGTAATTTCTCCGTAAAATCTATGGCTAGTAGACTCAGTAGTAGAGTGGCAGTGGGGGGCTTTCCTTCTAAGCAAGTTTGGAATTCAATTAGTCCATCAAAAGTAAATTTCCTTGTCCGGTCAATGGCCTTAAATAAATGACTGTCCAGAACTAATCTAGAAAAGAAGAGGCTTGCAGATCCTAGATAAGTCTTGTGCCCTTTGTGATGCACATCCTGAGTCTACGGATCATCTCTGCATTCACTGCCCGTTTGCTGCCCAAGTGTGGTACCACTTCTTGAAGGCTGTGGGGATATGTTGGGTCATGCCGAAATCTGTTAAGGATATTGTTCTGTAGCTGGAAGATCAGTAATATGAAGAAAAGAGGGAAGCTGGTCTGGACTTCCATCCCAGCAGCAGTGCTCTGGGCTATTTGATCAAAGAGAAGCAACAGAATTTTTAATCAAAGAGTGAAAGGGCCAGAGGAAATATGTCAGGTGGCTGTTTGTAAACTGATATCCTGGATTTCAGTCACCCCAGAATTCAAACATGTAAATGTAGCTCAGTTACTGAGAAATCAGTCAATTTGGTGCTTGTAATGGGGGGTTCTCAGGCTTGCCTTGTTGTTGGCAGGTTCATGTTTTGTACTCTTAAAGTTTTAATCTAATAAATTTACCTTACCTTTTCAAAAAAAAAAAAAATTGTATTGACACTACGATGGTGATAGAAATCAAACAACACCAAATAAAGTTTATGCCATCACAGAACATATCAAAAAAACAATTTGGGCGAAGATGCAAAAGATATTCAAAAAATATTAAAACATGTGGATAATTTCTAAACAGGAAAATAAATTCATAACTTAATGCACAAAAATTTAGAACTTTCATACCCTTCAACAACCACAAGGCACCGATTATTAGGAACTAGACGGCGAAAAGAAGCTTTTTCACATATTGATTCTGATCGAGCATTGAACTGTAGCTTGCCACAAACTTCAGATCATAAATTTTTTTATGAAAGAAATTGCAAGCTTATATTTCATCCAAAGGTAAAAGAGGTCAAATTCATAAATTCAAAATGAACATTAATTAATTTCCATGTAAATGGATATAGCCATATTAAAGTATAAGAACTTAGTAAAATCAAATTGAAGAACAAACTATAAGCCATCATAAATCACATGCCAGAACTGCTTCAGTGGTTGAAAATTTCTAACAACAGAAGTTCATTATTTGTTTTACATTGAGATATTTCTTGTCCCTCTTCAACATTTTAAATTTGTTCATTTTGACGGTTCAACTTTTCCAATTTAAAGTATACTTTCAGTTTCCCCACAGAATTTGTTGTATACAATGGAAGAGATTTCAAAGTGCCACATAGAACAATAACATATTAGCTGCTATGTGGAGAAAATTTCTTTGTTCCCACAAGGTTCCTAGCTCTAGTGGTTCCAGAGATGTAAGCAAGGTCCATAGACAGTTGACAATTCCTTCATTTTCCTTTTCTCACTGTTTATTATCCTTCAATTAAAGATGAAGAATGTAGGACACAAAAAATACAATGTCAAGTCAATCAGACCACCAATAGCACCCAAGATCCATTTAAAGACAACTTACCACAAGGATCAGATTACAACACCTAGGAGGCTTTTGTATGCAACCATAATCCTAGTATTTAACATAGAAGTAAAACATGATTGCTAAACATTTATCACATAAAAAGGGCAATCCATTAATTGTAGAAAAACTCCAAAATTCCTATGGTGATAGATTTTTGGGTAAATTATAGATAGGCACCCTTTACTTTGGGGGTAGTGACACTTGAGAGCCTAAACTTTCAACTGTGACAGTTTAATACCTTAAACTTTAAGAAATATACACATAAGTCCAATTCCATTAAAACTGGCATTAAGATAAGAATAAAATTACAAATATGCCCATGTTCAGATTCTTTGTTTCATCTACTTCTACCTTCGGATGCAAACAGTGGCAGCAAAAAAATTTTGGTGGGCAGTGCATTTGTAAGGGAACAGAAACCAACATGTATGCATTATTCAGTATTCATCCATCCGCATCATTCAGAGGATTCACTAGAGAATTCAATTTGTTCTCATTTGTTTCTGAATGTTTTTATTTAGATACAGACTTTAGCTGCTTTGAGAATTGCCATTTATTTTGTGTTGCCACTCGATTGCATCCAAATGTAGCAGAATATCAATAGTAATAAAGGATAATCTGAACAGACATTTTCGTAATTTTTACCCCCACTGTAATGCCAGTGTATATTTCTAAAAGATCAAGGTACTGAAATTTCGCAATTGAAAGTTCAGACCCTTAAGTATCTCCACCCCAAAAGTACAAAGTACCTATATGTAATTTCCCTAGGGCTCCATTTGGTTTGTAGGAAGATTTGGGTGGGATGGGAAAAGATGGGATGGGATGGGATGGAAAAGTGTAAAAATTTACACTTCCATTGTTTGGTTTTATATATGGGAAAACAATGGGAAAAGCATTGTTCATCTTCTTCTACCTTCGGACAGTGCTGCCAGAGACAGTAGTTCAGACTAACAGGTAGCACTGTTCATCATCTCCCTCCATCCTCTTCTCCGTTCGTTAGTCCCCTATCGAACTTCTCTGTCGGCAGCGAGGGAAGAAGTACACCAGAGTACCAAAGCCATTGGTGAAACAGCGAGAGAGAGAGGCTTGAACTAGCTACAGCAGTTCGTTAGTCCTCTGTCAAACGTCCTTGCCGCTACAACTAGCTACAGCAGCGAGAGAGAGGCTTGAAGTGCGACCTGGGAAATTCGATCTCACCACCCTCCGTCGAACTCTGTGTTTGCTGCCAAGCTGAAGACAATGAAAACCTCCCTTTAGCACAATCCCTCTTTCTCTCTCTAATTGTCTCTTCTCTCACCTGAACTAAGAGACCCTAGCCTCTACCTAAGAGTCTCTCTCTGCTCCCAGCACAACCTTTCAAAGGGAAACCACCAGAGCCCTCCCCCTCTTATGCTCTCTCTTTGGACTTTCTCCCTTTCTATCTCAGTCTCTCGATACGCTCTCTCTCTCTCTCTCAGATTTTCTCCCTCTCTTTCTCAGTTCTCTCTCTCCTCTGTTCAATGGTAATAGTGCTTTCTCAACTTTTTCCATCGGGGTCACATAGTTTTGGTGCAACCCCAAATCCACAATTTTGGGATCTGACATCCCACATTTTTCTCATCCCATCCCTCTATTTCCCTCAAACCAAATAAGAGAAAAGGGAATATTTTTGGAATATTCCATTTTTCTTATCCCCATCCCACGAACCAAACGGAGCCTAGATTTTTCACAAAGAAACTTGGAAAGGCAATTTTATGGGGATCAATAGTGAAACTCAAGCCTAAAGTCCAAGATGTTAGATGACTTATCCCAAATGATATGGATCTAATAGGTGATTCTACGTTATCGAGGAGCTCAAGCACCCTAGAGCTCTTTAGTCCAAGGTGCTACACACCTAAAGATGGTATCTCTTGTATTGGACATGGACCAACAATAGAATCAAGGACCAGTATGGCCATAACATCATGTTCCAAACTATTAACTTTTCATTTTATTTTTAGCATTTAGTATTACATATAATACCTTTTATATCAATCAATTGAGCCTTATTAAAAGGCTAGAAGGGACATCAAATCCAAAAGGGATGATACAATAAACCTTTGGGAAGGAGTTACTATGCCCTAAATACTAAACAGAAACTTATCTTTCAAGTTTTCACCTCATAGTTGAACTTGGGAAAACCAACTATATTTCGTCTAAATCAGTGTAGATGGTTATCTCCATGTCATTACAAATAAATAAATAAGAAGTCTTATGGTAGAAACAACAGATAGTGTTCCTTGATTGAATCTCACGATAATAATAGATCATTACATTCAATAATTTCTAAAACAAATGTTAAATATCTTTCCTTATTACAAGCATAAAGCACATGTAAATAAAACTCGGTATTGTTGGAAGGGTTAGAAATCAGGTTTGACATGGCTGAACCAAGTTTGGTGGCTAACCGAATTTTAAAAATTTTCTAGCCCAATTCAGGAACCAATTTCTTGGTGATTTTGAAATATGAAATTTCAAGATCGATTTTGCACTAAACCAAGCTAGATTTGAAACCCAGATTAAAGCTGATCATACCTGATACAGAGACCACAGTGTGCATCTCCCAAAGTAATAGTTCACGCCCAAAATCAATCTCAAAATCGACCTCCAACTGAACATGGCACAGTGTGTACGTGAAGCCAATTCAGTAACACCGTTTAAGCAAACACCAATTCCCAACTTGCTTGGATCGATGTGGGTATGTAAACCTGATATCCCCATATGTTTTTCTTACAAAAACACAATAGAGAACCGAGGAAAATTAGTTCCTATCACAGCTAGGTCGAATTAGGATTTTTAGGAGGCAAAGGAGAAGAGAAGAGAGCAAGAAAGTGGAGAGAATTGGTGTGTTCGCCCCTTCCCTCTTTGTCCCTTATATAGAGCACTCTCCTAATCTAATTAGGAGCTTACCCAAATCAGGACTTTATCTTTAATTGATAAGCATTATTTTCTAAAGAAAATAAATGCTCCATAGCCAAATCCATGCCCATTTTAAACTCAAATCACATGATAGCCAAAACTGTCATGTGATCTCTTTCTTTAATGGTTCACGTACCAAGGTGTTGCATGGCCACTTTGGGCCTAAATATTGTATGGTATGGGACCCACAAAGGTAATCTCCCAAACTACCCCAACATGCCTAGGTATTTGACCCTTAATGGATCTCACTATTTGGCATATCAAAGACAACTCAATCCAAAACGTAATGCAATATCACAACCAAGTTTAGGATTAAGTGTAACTTTCCAGTTCTGCCTCTATTTTCAAAGTCCAGGACAAAACTGAAAATTGATCCACGTTTAGTGCTTCTTCTAAACACCCACTAGTTGTGCTTAGTGTTTAACCCTATCAACCGAGACAAGTTGCTCCACCAGTGTAGTAGCACACTAGCATTAACCATGATAGGATAAACTCGTCAATCTATCGAATAGCTGAAAACATTATAAACTACCACAAGTCTAATAAATATCTGGTTTAAGGAGTAATTCACATAAACACACCAATAATGACATAAAACAATAATGTTCTTTATTCATTTACTGATAAATGTTTATGTACATCAATTTAATTGGAGTTAAAGTATACACTATCTAACAAATATTACCATCAATATGTCACAAAGATTTTTCCTTTCACTCATTCCATTCCACGTAGAGGGCATATAAAAACATCTAGTGCATTCACATAGATTCACATTCAAGGGCATAGATTTTTCCTTTCTTCTCCGTTTACTGAAGGGATGAGATATCCATCATATGGATAGCCGAATCCTGCAAATAGGTAGGGTGAAATTTCAAAAATTTCTCTCCCATGTGGGAATCACATTCCCTGTTTTAGAAAATTTGCATTTTCAATGATCAATCTTAAACCTAAACCAGACCAAATCTGAAACCAAAAGGTAAGAGAGGGATATACCTTATACGGAGTAGCAGTAACTCCCAACGAAGGTGTTCACGCCCAAGGAAAACTCCAAAGACTGCTCCTGCTGAAGATAACACAGCGTAGGGTGGAGCAGAATCAGCAGGTGGTTATTCACAAGAATCGAATCATTCAGCAAGAATTCGATGGAGGGTATGTGAACACGACTTCAGATCAGTTTTTCACCAAAAACTGATATCAAGAACCTTTCTTGATCTCTCCTACAGGTGGAGAACGAACTGACAATGGCAGAAGCAATAGGAGGCAAGAGCAGAAGATGGCGTCAGTCTTACTGGAGCTGTCTTCTCTCTTGTATCTGATATCAGATTGAGTGAGTTGGGGTTCGCCCTCCTCCTCCTTTTATAGCCTTAAAGAGAGTTCATAATCTTATTAGGAGTTTCCTAATCCAAATCTTTATTTGAATCTGGACTCTCTTTAAAATATAAGGATAATCCCTTATCTTATCTGCAGATCAAGATCAACCCTCCTAACCTCATTAAGAGTTTCCTGATCCAAATCTCTATTTGGATCTGGACTCTCTAAGTGGATAGGGATAACTCCATATCCTATCTGCAGATCTAAATCTCAGAACCGCCCCTCTTTAGTTAATCAAATTAAACCAGTTCGAATTGGGCTTTAAGCTCATTAAGTCCATGTGCTCATTCGGCCTCCAAACTGCTGCCCAGTTGGACTTCATTGTATGTCGTGAAATCCAAACATTGATCTACACATCAACCACATGGGTTCAGCCTAGCCGAATTCGCTGTAAGGGGCAGTGAACCCCTGAGCCCATCACCATGCCCAGTTGGACTTCATTGTATGGCATGGAATCCAAACATTGATCTACACATCAACCACATGGGTTCAGCCTAGCCTCTGTTACAAGGCCTGGCCGAATTCACTATAAGAGGCAGTGAACCCCTGATCCCATCACCATGGGATCTTAATGGGCCCAACACTTACACTAAGTGGTCCTTGGGTCAAGCCACCTTATAAAAACCCAAGGACTATGAGCAGATGCAAAATTAGCCTATCAGGTATTACCCTCAATGGTCTTACACTTAACCTCTCAGCCCATAATGATCAAACACTGCCCGACAAGAGAGGATCTCTCCCTCGGCTGCAATGAACAATGTTGCACTCTCTACTCACATGAATCCCGGGAATTAAAACATTTTGCAAACAAAATATATATATATATATATATATATATATATATATATATTTTGCAAAACAAATTTCAATAGTTAAAATCGGCTGTAGAAAGCTTTGATTTCCATCAGAGATAATGCATCCCCGATCATTACCTTTGTCCAACAAAGGGGCTGATTCTGTCACTATGATCACCCACTCAGATGAATTCTCGAACTGTCCCAACATACCTAGGTTTTGACCCCCTCTAAGGATCTCACTGATTGGCATATCAAAGACAGCCCAATCCGACACATAGTGTAGTATCATAATCGAGTCTAGGGGTCAGGTGTAACATTTCAGTTTTGTCCATCAATCTCCAAGGTCCTGGGCAATACTGGAATTCTGGTCTGCTTCAAGGTTTCAAGAAAACCCACAATGCATGTACCTCAAGTCTCACCCTGACAACTGAGACAAGTCACCCCAACCAACTTAGCGGCACATCAATGTCAGCCTTGGCAGGATAGTTAGATTTATCCAACGGCTATGAACATTCTAAACTAACACGAATATCATATGTGTTCAGTTTAAGGGTATTATACAGAAAYACACCACAATAACAATATGTACTTTATTCATTTACAATAAATGTTATAATATAGATCATTTTAATTTGAACTAAGGGAATAAACTRTCTAACATTTACAATATTTATGCTTTTGAACACAAACAGATTCACATTTAATCTTTGTAAAAGTCAATGGATAAAGTACAAAAAAACGAGAGGGGAAAAAACAGAGAGAGAGGAAAGAAATGACATAATCCGTACCATCCTGTAGTGATCGGGCTTCTCAGTTTTCTTGGTAAAACTAGGAACAAGCCCCCACTTCATGCAGTGAAGAACAGCACCTTCGCTTTCTCCACCACATGCTTCATCTCTCCTAACAACCGGCAGATCGGACCCAGGCGAAACATTAAAAGACGGACGATACCTGAATAAGACAAAACCAACTAAACTCTTTTCCATGTACAGAGATAAAGACCGAAAACCAACACTCCATCGATTTCACACAGTATACCATTCATCCCCTAAGTAATAAAGAATATAGAGGTTTGCTAACCTGTTCACATCCACGGTTCTCACAGAAGCACCATCGACACAGCAAGCCCGAGGGATATCCTCTGCTCTTAAAGTGCACCGAGTTCTTCCGCACATCCTCTCTCTCACAGTTCTTTCCGTCTCCCCTCTTCGCTCTTACACTCTTCTTCGATGAGAGTGAGCGCGGGAAACGAAACGGTGATTCAGTTCTAACATACGAAGTTCCTACAGATTTGAAGTTGACAAGTTTCCCTAAACACGTGGCAAGCATAAATAACATTTGGTAACTAATATTCCGGTCCCACTGGCAAGATGTTGAAAGGCTGAGGACCAACGAAGCCTTCAGATCCGACGGTCAGTTAATTTTTCAATAGATCCTGATTCCCACTTTTGAATAAAAACAAGTTAAAAAGAAACGCAAATACGTTGTCAACGGTCTGGGTTGGGTTCGGGACAAATAGAATCATTCCAAACCGATTGTCAAATTAATAGATTCAGAACTGAACCAAACCCTAAAATTAGAATTACTATCAATCCCATCGGTTATTGAATAATTGGATCTGACCCGGTAAGAACTAATTAAATTTAAAAACGGTTAAAATCTGTAGTTTTTTGTAAACAAAGAATGTAAATAAAGAACATTTAAAATTTTGTTAAAATCTATAATTTTTTTGTAAAAATTGTTACTATTATAGACATCACTATAATACAAATTTCAAGAATGACATGTGCTGCTGCCAAATCTGGAGTCGAGGGAAGCTTTGTAACTTTCGAGGTCCAAAGGCCAAGAGTCCTGCCTACTAAGAGTAAAAAGATGTTAGAGGCCGAGAGAGTGTTCCTAGTGGCTAAGACTCCGACGATCAAGTTAGCCAAGGGCTGGACAAAAGCTAATATTACAACAAGAGAGTGAAGATTAGCTCAAGTATGCATAGCTTTACCTTTAAGTTGTGGTGTCCCTTTTATAGTCGAAGTTGCCTAGGAGTGGAGTGATGTGTAATGAATAACTGTTCGGTGAATTGTCGTCACAAAGAGGGCAGCTAGAGAGACATCGACTCATTACTACCCCTCATAAGTGTATTGGGAGTATTTATGCCGAGAATGTGGTGCCTATATTAAATGCCCCACGATAACGACTTGTGGGAGTTACATTGTTGCCCTTGGACGAGGGTGAAGTGGGGGAATTACCATTGGGTGGTGCCATGCATCAGCATCTAGTGAACCGGCCAAATGTCGACACAAATTTCGTGTATTTCAATTAACACAAAATATGGAGACAAATTACAAAAATAAATTTGTAATAAAGAAAAATAAACAAGGGAATGAACTCACTTTGATTTCTACTTGATGACATGAGCAACCTCTTATTAACGGTCAAATTCGGTGAGGACGAGGGTCGTTGGCGTGTTTCTCGTACTTTTTGAAGTGTTAATGTAGATTTTCTTGATTTTGGTGCTTTGGGAGGTTTGATGTAGATTTCTTCACTCCAGGCTTTACGCTTGATCGACTRTGAAGGATGCTTATCTAAGAAGGGCCTTTTTGTGGTGGCTTGATCTTCTTGAGAGAGCTTGAATCCAAGTGTGTTGTTGAGAATGAATAAGTTTTTCCCTTCTTTCTTCCCTCTTGATCTTACAGTTGTAGGAGCTTGTGGTTGCTTACAATCCTCAAGTGTTGGTGTGTAAGAGCTTCTAGCAATGTGATTCTCTAAAAGGAAGGCTCTTTTCTTCCTAGGCAAGGCTGTTTATAGCCAAGGATTAGGACTGCCAACTCAGCCCACTTAGTTAGCCAATCCCATGTGAGTGGAGTGTTGAGTTAGCATTAAGTCATATACATGCACCATTATGTAGGAGTTAGTGGTCTTGCCAATAGGGCCACCCTATTACAATAGGAGATGGGCCAGATTGGACTTAATACATTTGAATCTTTAGGCCACTAAGACATATTTATGTAGACTTGGGCCTTGAGCCCATGGAGGCCCATATTAATTTAGAGGATGTCATGTAAATTAAGTTCATTTATTTGGCTTAAAAATTCACATGTCTACAAATGCCCCATTCAGGATGAGGTGACAGAACTCTGTACGATGTCGATGTCCTCGATGAATTTGATTTCCATGTTGGATGGTAAATGACTTGGGTATTTGTAGAGATCTTGTTTAAACTGGTGCTCTTTGAGGAGATGTATGGCTTGCATGACATGCAACTAATCCACCTCCAAAACTTTGCTTGAAGAAGTGGTTATCACAAATATCTTTAGTAGCTCAACCAATCAATCCATTAGTTCAAATTCACTACTATCCACATCGGAGTCTCATGGGAGTTGTTCTTGAAGGTGTCCCATAGGTTGCTAGACTCTTAGTACAACACGAATCTCCTCCTTTATAAATAAATACCCAATCTTCCATGGATGCAGGATTTTGACATCGTTAGGGTAATTCTTTGTTTCTTTTCTTTTGGTTACAAGTCTTGAAGCAAACTTTTTCATTTTGATCCGCAAAAGTCTTCCTGGATAATCGTCTCATGCTGTGAAGGTTGCAAGTTCATCAAAACCATTGAATCTTACACTAGTGCCTTCAACTATTGCTTCCTATTGAAATAAGGTTTGGGCCATTGGGTAGTACTCATAGTGGGCGCTCCCGTTGCAAATCTGGCAGCCCACCATCGAAATCAGGTATTTGACTTTCTTCCCCCATTTTTGATTTTGATCTCCATTCAAACATATAGCTAATTAACCACGTGGTTTACATGCACTCCTTGTCCTCTTCCTTTTCTTTATATTGTCTTGGTTATTTTTGTTTCCTTCTTCTATAGCCAAAAGAATGAATAATGTGATTATGATATTACCAAATTAATTAATTAAAATAAGTGCAATACGATCACAAAATCATACGACAACCATCCAATAAATAAGTACTCTTCTCAAATACATGGTTTGGATTAGTAACCGGCGGCCTTACAGATGCTCTCCCATTATACCGCAAGAAATCGAGCTGCTAATGCCGTTGAGATAATGAGAATGACCTATATGGTGTTTGAGACAATAAGCAAGAGTAACTTGAGAAGTGATGTAGTTATCTCTACCCTTGATTCCTTCTAGATCAACCAGTTGACCTTGCACATCCAACGAACTGAGACTCAACSATGTTTGAATGAGGCATGACTCTTCTTGTATTTTACCAAATTATGTTTGTTTCTATGATTTTTTTCTCTTTTTTTTTGAAATTAGAGCTTTGGAATAACACTAAACATGAAGCTCCTATGGACATYTTAGGTGTTTTATCCAACAAAATGGTAGATAGTCATTGTATCACCATACTAAAGCTCCCACTTGATACTATCGTTAGTATAGACAAAGCCTGGACTCTCTCGGCATGGTGCTCCCTTTCAGCCATTGAAACCGAATGTAATACGGGAGTTAACCTTCGAGGTAATCACTTTGTGTCAATGAAAATAAAGAGACCGGCTGCTTTCGTCACACATGGTGTTCTTGTGCTCAAATGACATGCATTTCCTTCTCCTGGGATATGCTTCATCAAGATTTCATCCACTTCATCTTGTTGTCACTTGATGCAAGGTGTCAATTCCCTCTTTTTGTTTATGGACTTCTTAGYGGTAGAAAATTTGTATTGAAGCTGATTTTGAACCCAAACAAGAGTCGTGTCGTGAATGACTTCTTGTTGTATGAAGATTTTGGAATTTCTCATTCATTCCCTTCATTTAAAATTAGTTAGGGACTTGCATTGATGATATTTGCATTATTTACACTTGTTATTTTTCTTCTCTTAGCAAGAGGGAATCTCATGACTATAATTTTGTTCATGCAAGACTATAGGTTTGGAACATCAACTCAGTTGGCACACTTGTATGACTTCTTTAGCAGTAGGACCTCGCAGACCTTCAATGGTCTGGGGTCCCTAGGCCCAGAGCTTCGTAGACTTTCAGGTTGGAGGTCTCTTGGATTTAAGGATTAGCTTGCATAGAGCTTCTTCACTAAAGAGCCACAACATACAGAGGTTCATCAGCAGCAGGCTCTTGCAAACATTCAATGGTCCGGGGTCCCTAGGTCTAGAGCTTCATAGACTTTTGGGTCTGAGGTCTCTTGGATTTAGGGATTAACTTGCATGGCACTTCTTCATTGGAAAGCATGATGCACACAACTTCCTTCTTCACTAGAGAGTCACAACATGTAGAACTTCATCGACAACAGGCACTCGCAAGCTGTCAATGTCCACAGTCCCTAGGTGCAGAGCTTCGTAGATTTTTGAGTCTGGGGTCTCTTGGATCTAGGGAGTATCTTGCAAAGAGCTTCTTCACCAAAGGACTTGATGCACGAAGTCTTCTCTTCTTCGAGGTAATGTACTTTTATTTATTGTTATTATATTAACACTTCTCTTTTGCATATGCAGGTGATGTCTTCTTCTGGTTCATTTGGTTTTGAAGCTTCATCGCCATCTTTGATACAACCTCCACCAAAGAAGAAATTGCCTCAAGAAAGAAGATTAGAAAAGCCTAAAGACCTAACTATGAAGGGCGATATCTCTACTTTCCTTGCAGAACACACTTATGGTTGTTATTGATGAACTTTTGACAAGTGCTTGTTGTCAACACAAAGTTGAGTAAGAATAGCTCTTTGAACCTGATGAAAGCAAAAGAGATGTGTTGAAAGACAACGATGATGATTTTTCTCCTTGATGATGTGATACTTGGGCATGTTTCATGCTGAGGAACAATCGTCTGCTAATCTCATAGTATCGACTTTTTAATTTCTCTAGATTCATCTCTACCTCTCCAACATAGAGGAGTTGTCATGGTTCACATAGTGCTAGAGTCCTATGTTGCTTCTAGAGAGTTTGTTTGACTTCTATGAGATCATATGGGATGAGCGCATTCCTTTAACATGGGAGGGAGAAGATTCTTCGTACCCTTTCTAAGGAAGTTTTATGTGAAGATCTTTACCCACACGAACGAATGGGTGAAGATCAGCTGACATGTCTTCTAATAATAACAAGGAACCCCACAATGATGTAATGTCTTGTACCCTTGAGGAGGAATAGCAAGGAAAAGATGAGCAATAATAAAAGTAGGTGGAACAACACTTTTCCTTAACCTTTAAAGACAATACTCTAGCAAGAAGCAATAAGAAGATAGTGACGCACTTGTAGCAGAAAAGCTTAGCATGATGAGTTGAAACAATTGAAGGCAGCCAACAAGCAGGAGATGCAAGTCAATGTTAA